ACTCCCAGGAAAGGCAGCAGTGGTGTCAGGCACTCTGTGGGGACTCAGGGGAAGGGACAGTTGGGGCGGCCAGGGGAGCAGGCAGCACGTCACCAACCGCTGGCACTGCAGACAGCTTCACTGTGAAAGTCTCCAGTGACTGCAGCATTTCGGAGGGTCACTCACGCTCCTGGGACCCGGCCCCGGCCAGCTGGCTCCTCAGCTCTTCTTTTTCTTCAGCATCTCCATGTACATGCGAAGTGACTTCTGGATGGACTCTTTTGAGACAAAGCTGATGAAGTGCTGAATGTCTTCCTCCCGGTGAGCTAGCAGGCGATCCAGCACCGCCTTCCTCATCATGGACTTGGTGAGCTGTCGGGCATGGTCTGCGGAGAGGAGAGCGAGGATGAGAAACACATGCGGTGTTCCTCACCCCTCACCAGCTCTCGGCCACTGCCACCATGTGCAGGTCCCTCCAAAGGGACCGCACACCAAAGGGCTCTTAGGGAAAGGTGTCAAAACCCACTGGCTGGAAGCTGAACTGCATAAATTCTCATACAATAAATTACGATCTGTACCACTCAGTGGGGAAATGACCGATCCGCTGGGACAGATGACAAAAGATTGTACACCTCCTTCTCTTTGCACCCTCCAGAGCCCAGCTCCCACACCAATACACAGGGGCCCAACAAAATCCTCCACTATTTGAACCTAGTCTGGCTCTAAGCTCCCTCAGCCCAACCCCTTTGACCTCGGGTGACAGTCCGCTCATGCCAAACACGCCGTACGAGAGCCAGCAGCACTGTCCCCTCGAGCTCATCCCGACAGCGGGATGGACTGTGAAAGTCAAGAGAGAGCACAGCTGAGACCTGCTCCCTGCTCTTGGAGGCTGAGGATTCACTCTGACGCCAGGAAAGCTGGGCAGAGAGCTGTTTAGGGACCCTTTTCCAAGGCTGGGACACAAAGTGACGGTTCTGGGACCCATACATTTGTGCCCAGTTTCCTTCAGGTTTCTACAAAAAGAGCAGTCAAAGGGTGGTTTGTAGTTGTGCCACCCTGCAGCGCTCAGGAGGTGGCAGGGGGTGGATAGCTCAGCTCTAGCCCTGGCCGGGGAGAGCCCTCTCCTAGCCCAGGAACCACGTGCTGCCAGCCCAAACGAGCACACAATGTCTGTATTTGCTGCCTGTCCTCGCACCCTCACCGCCATCCCCAGCTCAGCAGAGTGACAAGTCGATCTGACCACAGAGGCGGGCTGGCAGCTGCCCAGGCACTCTCAGCCAGCCTGTTCCCTGGGAAAACTCCTCCACTGACAGACACAGAGCCTCAATTTGTACCTGGAGCTCAGGCAGCTCCAGGCTGACTCAGCAGGGCTGGCAGGGCGAGCTGAGCCGGAGCCATGTGCCCTGCACACCCAGCACAGCGTCCTTCCATGCAAGCCCATCTCTGTCAGCCCCTGGAGCGCTGCGCTGAGCCTTCCTACCTCCCAGCCACCCACACCTTCCCTTTCAATGGAAACTATTGCACGGCTCACGGGTACCAGTCCTGGCACCTGTCCTTCCCACTGAGACCAGATCCCCTCCTCCTTACCAGGCAGGGCCAGCCACTGCGCCATGACAGCCGCAGCCTTCTCCTGGAGCTTCTCCTCGGGCACCAGCTCATCCACGAGGCCAATCTTGAGGGCCTGGGGTGCGGGGTGGAGGGAGCCCAGCTGGAGGGAGCTTTCAGCAACGCGGTGTCCCACAACGTTCACAAACGTGTCCTTAAACCTAGAAGAGACGGGAGGAACAGCCACGGTCAGGGATAGAAGCACTCAGCGGCAGCTGTACCCAGACGGGGAAGCTCAGAGCGCGCTGGGTCCACTCCCCAGGCGGGGGTCTCTGAATAGCAGCCACCAGCTCTGCCATGCGAGCAGAGCCATTTTCGGTGCCACCGCAATGGAGCTCGCCCTCCTCTCCGCGAGAGCCGCTCTGGTTACCCTCAGTGCACAGGTCCAGCTGTGCCACTGGCTGTGATGTGAAAGCTCCTTTCCAACAGCGTATTTCACGTTCTGAGGGCACCGAGGGTCCACGCCTCAGTGTAGGAGTGCCCCAGAGATCCCCACAGCTATGGGATTTTGCAGGTGCACAGCCTGTACCCACACAAAGCCTGACCAGGGAGAACTCCCAGCGCTCATTTGGGAGCTGACTGCAGAGTCAGAACCGAGGTCCTTGCTGGGGAAGGACGTGAGGACGTTGTGCAGCCTGAGAGCTTTTGAGACCTGCACAACCGGACAGAGAAATGAGGTCCTGTGTCCTGCAGCTGCAACTACCGGATCACCGACAGATAAAACTAATCTCAGCAGACAGGTAAATTGATTATTAACTCCTTGGAGACAAATTCTTTTTAGAGACCTCCAGGTGACGCTAGAAGTGGGAGGCACTGGCATACCAGAAGGGAGCCACAATGCCCAGCTGGGCTTCGTTGAGGCCGATGCTGAATTTGGGGTTCTCCACCATGATCCTGTAGTCACACGACAAGGCAACGAGACAGCCTCCCGCCGGGCTGGACCCCTGGCAAAGGGAAGGAAGGAGAGAGCCCAGGTCAGCCCTCGCATGCTGGTTACAAACGTTCCTGTCCCCCAGCCTCACTGTGTCCTCCAGAGTGGGGAAGACACAGGGTGACATTGCTGCCAGGGAGAGAGCAGATGCCCCCGAGTCTCCGACCACCTGATTCAAAATAGCCACCAAAGAAAACTCCTGACACATTCACCAGAGTTTATCCTTTCATTTTTCAATGCTCTTTGTTTCTTGCATTTTCCAGCCTGGAAATTTCGTTAATGGATCTGTGTTAGTCAGGTTGCAAACCCTGCAACAGAGATTTGCTACGGCACTTTCTTGTAACCCTACAGGAGTTTTTAACCCTCCTTGAGTTTGTAACCCTAATGACACAGAAACGGTTCTGTCCAGGGGCTACGTAACACCTTCTGCCTATAAAACTTCCACTTGAGACTGTCTTTGCTATGACCCGGTGCATGCTCAGCCCTGCACAGGATGCCTGTGGGACACTGCTGCCTTCAAAGACAGTCACAGCTCCGTGAGCTGCCGAAGTGGCCCTGAAAAATGAAAACAAGCCACCGAGCAGGGAACAGCACACCTACGGACACCAAGATCCCAGCAGCATTTCCCTGCTGGCCAAGAACCACGGCTGGAGGAGCAAAACTTGGTCAAAAAAGGGCTTATGACAAACTGCCCTGCCCGGGCTGTGGAGCATGGCTGCCCACAGCACTGAGGACAAGCGCTCATCGCACTGCCTCCCACCTCTTCCCCTCTGCCAAAGCCGTGCAACAGCTAAGCAAGGGACCGTGGGCACCTCTCACGAGGCTCCTCGGTGACAAAGCAGCCGATGGGCGCATGACAGGCATCCTTTGGACTCCTCCTGTGCCAGCTGCTTGGCTTTTCTGTACTCGTCTGCGATCAATGCCCCTCTGGGCTTTACCACTGGCCCACAGCCCTCCTCCTGGTCCCCCTGCCTGGAGGACAGACTCCCAGACGAGTTCTTGGGGCAGGGTATGCATCTTGCTGCACAAAATGCTGCCACGGGCACTTCAGTCCCCATGGGTAGGACGCGAGTGCCGTGCAAGCTCTCCACGGCAGCCGAAATGCTGCGACACCCCCGCAGCACCTGCAGCTTCCATGGAGCCCGCAGCATCCTGCGCTTCTGTGCCTTCCCACACCCCAACGCACTGAACTGACAGATGTGTACTGTGCCCAGACATCCCGGCAAATACGTCCCTTCAGCCCTGACAAGCCTGATTTGTGACAACCTGCCACACGGTGCAGCACGCGACAAGGAACGTGGATGGAAAGGACGTACATTGACCGCAGCGACTGTCACCATGTTGGAGCCGTACAGCCGGAGCCACATCTCCTGCACGGCTCTCCAGAACTCCGTGTAGTGCTCCCGCACATCTCGGTGATGTCCAGGCCAGACGAGAAGATTTTGGGGACAGCCTGGAATGAGGAAACACAAATGTCACTGAGAGGCAGTGCTCAGGGATGACCCCCCTCCAACACACTCGGCCTGGCAGCCCGAGGAAAGGGAAAGCAATTACTAAATACGACATAAACCAGTGTCTTTGGGGGTTCTGAAAGAATCTTCCCAGTGCTCCCATGGCCTGGATCCCATCACCTCAACCTGCAGGGCTGGCACTCTGCTTGCAGCATGATTTCTCATTATCAGAGTCCCTGTGCAGGTACATCAGCCACGCAGCACACAACCTGTCCTGTCCCGTTCCCAGACACCACCTCGTGCCCACACCACCTCTGAAAATAAATGCTGGCATCTCCAAGCAGCTCCCTCCGGGCAGTTCAAGAGATCTCAAGGGATGTGGCAGGTTTGCAGATAAGCAGCTTTGATTTTAATGACAAATTACAATACTTGGTTGTTATTCTTCTGCCAGAAAAGGGCAGGGAATAAAGATCACAGCATGGGAAAGGTACCCATGCCTGCCAAATCGCCCTGCAGCTTGCACCCCGAGCTCAGGACAACACGTACGGAGGTGAAGATCACACCCCGGCAGGCCCGGTCATTCTCCAGCTTCTCCAGGCTTATGCAGAACTCGGTGAGGAAGTCCAGGCTGAGGCTGTTCACCGGGGGGCTCTTGAACTTCATCGTGGCGACGCCTGTGCCGTGGTCAACACAGAGACATCAGAAACCCCCCACCACAGCAGCTGCACCGCCTCGCCCAAGGGACCTACACCCAACTCCCTGTTTCCCAGATCGTGCCTTTCTACTCCCGGCTCTTCAAAAAGCCCCCAGAGCAGCGGGGCCAGGAGCAGAGTTCCCCTTTGCTGAACCTGGAGCACGAACCAGCAGGCGTGCGGTGGCTGCAGCGTGGGTCCCAAAGACCAGGTGCCTTCAGGGTCTCATGCTGCCCAGCAGTTCCCATCTCTCTGGGATCACCAGGTTCAGGTTGAGCCTCCAGCTTCTACCACAGCAAACAACCCGTGCCCAGGAGCTCGCACACCTTTCTGAGCCTGCCAGCAGCACCACCACGCTGGCCAGCACCACGGGAAGGGCTCTGAGCCCTTGTCCCCTCCCAAACAGCACTACCCTACACTAAAAGGTCCTCAGCAAGTGCTTTGCAGCCGTGCCCAGGCTGGGGACAGAGCGAGGATGCTCTCAGGGGTACCACAGCAAACAACCCGTGCCCAGGAGCTCGCACACCTTTCTGAGCCTGCCAGCAGCACCACCACGCTGGCCAGCACCACGGGAAGGGCTCTGAGCCCTTGTCCCCTCCCAAACAGCACTACCCTACACTAAAAGGTCCTCAGCAAGTGCTTTGCAGCCGTGCCCAGGCTGGGGACAGAGCGAGGATGCTCTCAGGGGCCTGGCAGCTGAGCCCTGGGAAGCCTCAAGCAGCAGCAGCCATTGTTCAGCGCGGAGACTTGGCCCTGGGCCGGCTATT